CTTGAATTGAGTGGCCACTGCCAGGATCTTTTATAAGCTGATGCTACGGCTGGGCTTCCAGGAATTTTATATTCAAGGTGGGGACTGGGGGTCCCTGATCTGCACCAACATGGCCCAGCTGGTACCCAGGTGAGGGCCACTTTCAGGCGTGTGTGTGCATGCACGGGTATGTGTGCGTGCAACTCAATGAGGTGGACAGCTGTGCGCAACAGCAAGGTCATTCACACCAGGCCCTGCCTGGACATAGTACCTGAGCCCTCTTGGCAGGAGCCACCCAGGCGGGATGCTTGTGAGCAAGGGAGAGGCGAGAAGGTTCCCTGTCATTCAGCTCTGCCTTTGACACGGATCCTCCCTCAGTTAGGTGTCACATAGGGTTGGTGACTCTGGGCCAGGTGCCCAGGTACAGAGGGCCACTTAGAGGAGCGGAAGACCAGGGAATAGAGCTTTCTGATGGGCTAAGCCTGGGGGGAGACCTGACTGGAACTTTGTAGAAACTATTTTCTCCACAACCTGTTCCTTCACCTCATGTGGCCACCCCAGCGGGGCAGATGCTGAAGGGGGCTGGCCCTGGCGGCCTCTTCCTCCTCCCTCTCTTCCCTCCCCTCATTTCCTTGACACCAGCCCAGCCTCACCTGGTCCCTCTCTGCCCTCAGCCACGTGAAAGGCATGCACTTGAACATGGCTTTGATTTTAAGAAACTTCTACACCCTCACCCTTTTCCTGGGACGGCGTTTCGGGGGGCTTTTCGGCTACACCGAGAGGGATATGGAGCTGTTGTACCCCGTCAAGGAGAAGATTTTCTACAGCATAATTAGGGAGAGTGGCTACATGCACATCCAGTCCACCAAGCCGGACACTGTGGGTGAGTGCTGTTCAGTGACCTTCTCCACCAGGGGCAAGAGGAGGCGGCGGCCAGCCTCAGTTGCATGCAGGAAGGGGGTCCCACTAGGGGGAGCCTCACCTACCCCCAGGAACACCATTCACCTGGTGACGGCCTCTTGTGAGGGACCCGGAGCTCTTCTAAACTGCGTTTTCCATTTGGTGGATTCAGTACTCCTAGTGGCCTTGGCCCCTCTGGGATTGTGGGGGCAGGGAGGTGAATCCTCAGGACCCTGAGGGGATGCACCGTGACAGCTACGGGGAGCCCAGCAACCATTTCTGCCACCAGGGCCATGTTAAAGGAGCATTTCTTTTTTTTAAAAAAAGATAAAAACACTTAAAAAGATAAACTTATACAAATACGAAATGAACACATGTCAAAGATTTTAACTCATTCATTAATTTTTAAAAAACAGTAAAACGTAAAACACTTCAAAAGCGATTAGGAACACAAAATTAATGGACCCATAGATGCAAAACTTGTCGAAATCCACAGAGTAATCAATGAAATCTCCGCTGAACAAAAAATAATAGTTTTCCAGCTTTATTGAGATACAATTGACGTACAGCCCTGCATGCATTTCAGGTGTACAGCAAGCATCGTGACGTGACTCGTGTCGATCGTGAAATGATGACCACAATAAGTTTAGTTCACATCCATCTCCTCATATAGATACAAGAAAAAAATGTTTTTTCCCTTGTGATGAGAACTTTTAGGATCTACTCTCGGGACAAAATTCATTTGCTTCTCTATGAACAAGAATTACTTGCACTGCTGTCCATTTTATAGTTTACAGAGCTAGACAACGAACAGCTAAGGCAGGGAAGAGGGGACCACTGTCGATCAGAGAACCCCAGAAGGGTCCACTAGATGACTCCCCGAATCCCACTCCCAGGGCGCCCGGGCATTGTTTGCCCATTTCAAAGTCTTTTACAATGTTCAGGACAGTCCCGTGCTCATACACATTAGGCAGCTCGTGATAATAATAATAAAATAATAATAATAATAATAATAATAATAATAATAATAATAATACTGCTTTATCAAGCCAGTTTTTTTTTTCTTCTGATTATAAAAGTAATCCATGTTCATGGTCAAAAAATTGTAGGTGCAAAAAGCACAAGACAGAAAAGATAGTCACCTGTCACCCCCCCGTCCTTCCCCACCTGCCCTCGCCCCAGCCTTCGAAAGAACATGCTAAAATTTGGGTCCACGAATCTTCCCCAGTGGAATCTGCTGTAGCGTCAACACTCACATCAAGACGGAATTTGACGCGTCAGCCCAGAAGCCCCCTGGGCCCTTTTCCAGGCCCTGGAGCCCCCCAACCCTCCGGGGTACCACCCTCCTGACTTGTGGCAGGTAGATTCGTTTGGCCTGTTTTCATCCTTTATAGAAAATGGAACTGTAGAGCCGATTCTTCTTTTGAGTCTGGCTTCTTCTGCTCAATGTCCTGTTTGTGAGGCTCACCCAAGCTGTTGTGTCCCAGCTGTTTTTAATGCCTGCCCAGCATTCTAGCTTTCGGGAAGATCGATATTTGTAACCGAGCCCCTATTTTGGATTTTTAGGTGGTTTCTCGTTTTTCACTAATCATAACATATAAACAAACAAAAACACGGTACCTTTTTAAAAACAGCGTCCATATGTATTTCTCATTTGGATCTCAAAACCCAGAGTCACAGACCCTTGTGTTTAAAGAAAACAGCCCGTGGGGTGTCTGAATCCCCACGAGGCAGTGCGGGAGGTATTCCTCCTGTTACCAGATGACACTCCCAAGGCGAGAGTTACGGAAGTGAGGTGCAGGAGCACCCCGAGGGGCAGAGCTGAGCTGTGCCCCACCATGGGCTCCCGGTCCCAGGCCTGAGTCGCTCCCTTGCTTCTTCTCGTGCCAGGCTGTGCCCTGAATGACTCTCCCGTGGGACTGGCCGCCTACATTCTAGAGAAGTTTTCCACCTGGACCAATTCAGAGTTCCGAGACCTGGAGGACGGAGGCCTGGAGAGGTGAGACCCACGCACCTAGCGGCACCTTCCTCACACGTCACCCTCCTCTTGTCGGGGTGGGGTGGCCGGCAAGTTCTGTCTGTTGTTGGATGACTCACAGATCCTCACCCTCTGGCCGGCATAGCCCTGGGGACTGGATGAGGCACAGAGAGGTCTAGGCCTCGCTTCCAGCCTCACGGTGTGACCGCTTGCTCTGTGGAAGCCCACCCCGAGGGCGGCTGCAGAAGGAGGGGGGCCTCTCGAGGCTACAGCCTCCACAGGACATGACTCCCGGGTACCTGGCTCGACTCAGGCTCCATCAAGGTCAGCCCAGACCCACCTTCTCCAGGGCCTGCCCACCCCTTTCTTTATTTCTTCAGAGACACACCGAGCACCAGATACAGTGAACTGGGACTGGATCCCGCCTCAGGGGAGGGACTTTGTCTGGGCCATGCCCGCACCCCAGCACCCGGGACCATAATGGGGATATTGTAGGTGCCCAGTAAATATTTGTTGGGTGGACGAGCTCAAAAGATTCAAGCCAAGGACTGCAGGAGTCCAGAGAAAGGAAGATTCGTTTTATCTAAGGGGCAGAGAGGAGAAATGTTGGGAGAATATTTTTGATTTGGGCTTTGACGGGTGAGTAGGAGTTCGCTGCATGGAAAGGATTTAAAAAAAAGCGGGGGGAGATTTAGGCAAGAAAAGCAGAGGCGGAGGTTGGAGTGATTAAAATGCAAGGTGTGCTTAGAAAGGGTGACTTTCCAGAGGCTGGTACTTGGGGCCAGACCAAGAACTCCTTCCTGTGGGCGGGTCCTCCAAGAGGCTCCAAGCTCTCTCCCTGCGACCTCCCGCTACGCGTACTGGGCAGGACCCAGGGGTCGATGGGGCTCCGCTAGGAACACCTTGGCAAGGGGCCTGGCCCTGCTCCTTGAACACAAATACCTGGGGCCAGATGCGAGGCCCCCGCGGGCCGCTTGCAGGCTGCCTCCTGCAGCTCCTGCCCAGCTACAGGGAGCATGGGAGCTTCCAGCAGGGGGTAGACAGGCTCAGATCTGTGTTCTAGAAAGATCACTAACTGCAGTGGGTCGAAGGTCGTCGTTGTGGTATTTTTCAAGCTGTTGTCAGAGCCTCGGGAGATGGAAGCACTCAGCCGACTCGTTAAAGGCGAGTTCACGAGTTCATGGGGTTTAAATATTTATTGAAACTATTTGGTTTTCACTGACCAGTTTTCATTTGTCATCAAAATTGCGTTTTAAAAGATGTTTATTTGCTCCGTCCCTGCCCTGTGCTGCTGTTGCTAGAGATCCGGGATTCAGCCTGAGAATATGTTCCTGTGTATGAAGATGTTTTAGGAATATATTCTTCACTTCCGAGAAGCCTCTTTTCTTACAAATCCTTAATATTTTCATATTTGAGATTCGTACCCTCTTCTGTGTCCCCCTTGTGCGCCCCAGCAGCCTCTCTTTCTGCCCTTGTCTCGAGTTGTATTCGTCGGGAGCGGGGCAGAGGTGAACTGAACATCGCTTGAAATAGGGCTGTGAAGACCGAAGTATCACTGGCTGACGCCATCTAAATAGCGGAGGCAAATGAGGGAGTCAGCACATCGGCCGTTGGGGGCAAACTGGCTTCTGATGAATCAACTAGGTCGCAGCAAATGTGCTTTAACCCAGGCGGCAGGGCCTCGCTGGG